TATATTTCATGGTATACCATTTAATAACAATTAATCTTGACATTCACGACAATCAAAACAATTCAGGGTTTATAACTTTCAAAATAATTTGCTTTTCACAGTGCAGCTATCCATTGCTTCCGCCGGGGTTGCTGTAATGACACACCCCTAAACCGGCAGCTCGTGGCTCTTTCCTTTTCCTTTTTTAAGGCTGCAGTTTGCTACTTACAGTGGAAATCAAACATTTATCAATGAAAGTGCTATTCAATTCTTGTAATAAAATGTTTGTGCAGAAATCTATAAGACATAAGTTTACATACAGTGTTATATTGAAATTATATAATAAAAAAGTTGAGGCTTAACAAGTAAGTAGAAAAAGTGGACACATGGAAATGAACAAAGGGAATATGCTAAAACTGCAGCTACAGTGGAACAAATGGATAGAATATCAACTTGAGTCACAGACGAACCTTCAGAACATGTGTAACCTGTACTGCGTTACGCTCCTCATTGTTTTGCATTGACCTGTAACATCTTTCCTCCAGTAGCTTCATCATTTACTGCAGTTGACATGGCACAAAAATAAGTTAATGGACCCTTGGGTTATGACATCTGATACTTTGAAGTACAGTATTTATACACGTAAAACAAGGCTGCAGTTTGCTACTTACAGTGGAAATCAAAATTAGAGAACAACATATGAACATTTGATTTTCCTGAATATTGTTAACCTAATTCATTGTGCAAAATTTGAAAGAATATTAGCTGTGGATATATATCACTGTTCTTCTAGTAGTTTTGCAAACTACTTAAGACAACAAAACCTTTATTTTGTGGAAAACAGTGATCAAATTAGAGAACAGTAACCATTGTAGCAGAAAATAAGATTACAACTAAAATTTTTGGAGGGTTGCAGCTTTCAGTCATTAGTAGGTAGAGCAGATGCCCTTGTTTTGAATGACTTCAGCACATTTGTGCCCACAGGACATCACTATAGTTTCTCACACTGCTCTGGTTTGATCTTAATCCACTCTTCTTCCAGTCTCTTCCACAGTTCGATAAGTGTACTGGGCTACATCACGAAATGCCGCTGTGCACCGAGCATAGGAACTGGAACTGGAGAAGCGTGACATCAAGCGAAATCAACATGCAACACGCTTTTTCTGTTTTGCCCCTTAGTAAATATTGCGGATCCGATCTGTCAAAGCTTGGGACATTCAGAGTGTTATTTTACATTAGATGACACCGCTTAGAAATAGGCATTGTATAACCTGTGTTGTAAATTATGTATAGCCTACAATGTGTTTTTATATGGTGACACAGATAAATGCCATAAATCTGATGATTTAGCATGTATGTCCCAAAAGCGTTTCTGACATATATCTTCCAATTAAGTCAAGCTGTATTTTCGTCCAACTTATAAAGTACCTTTCATTGTGCCCCGTGTACAGCACACAGTGTTGTCTTAAATTATTAGAATTTCTGTCAGATTCAAATGTAACGGTATTTAATAAAGTAAAAACATAACGGCACCAAATAATCCTATTGAACATTAATATCGCTGACCGGTTGTCACGTCCCCGTGTTTTCCCTTGGATGTGGCTTCTCATCAGTCACACCTATTACCCGTCAGCATTACCTCTTGTTCCTGCCCTCCTCTTGATCATTCACATCGGCCTTGTGTTTTCTGCTCATTAGTCCAGTTTACATATAAGCATCTCTCAGGTCAGTGTTCCTTGTCTGTTCATTGTTGCGTGTTCCAGTAAAACTTACCCGCAAGGGGGTTTTCTTGTGCAGCCTGCAACTTGGGTCGCTCCTTACATTTGTGGACGTGACACCGCTCTCCCGCAACTAAAGAGCAGCAGGACTGCACACGTTAATTTTACTTGTTTCATGGGTCAGCTGTGAATCTCTTCTCATCCACGGACCCAGTGGAGACGGCATACTCCAACAGTTACATCACCTTTAAGAGGTACTAACAGAACACGGCTGGTGAAAAGTAGCCGTCCTTCTCTTCCAGCTGTTCCAATTCCTGCATGTGATGCATCAAAGCCGATCATTTCATTTAGCTCACATGTACCTGCAGTGAATCTGACCCTCTTGAATTCCTACAGAAACACAAAGGCCAATTAGCAAAGATGTCCTTTGTGCAAATTCATGCGTTCTCATCTCAACTGAATAAATGATGTTACCTTTGCTGGAAGACTGTCTTCCATGTACAGAAGCTCAAGAGACAAAATAAGACAAAAATCACTGCAAGACGACCTCTGTTGTAGCCACGGGAAATACCTGAAAAAAAGTTTTTCCTGCTATTTCAAATCCCCTACAGGGATCCTATTGTGTCCTAAAATCAGCGCAGTAGTTTGGAAAGCATCATTTTATTATTATTATTACTAGTAGTATAGTTTAAATGTACCTTGCAATGATCCTTACCTAAATACATAAAGATGGTCCCAGTTATTTGACTGCTTTGATGCCTCGCATATGTACAGGCTGTTCAGTTCAGAGCCCATCTTTAAAAATATCAGTCTGCCTCCCTCCGGTCTGAGTAAAGGACTGAGTACTTACCCGTTCACTCTAAGACAGGACTAACAGGATCAGTACTATACTACCCAGAAACACACAGGCCAAAAACAAACAGATACTGACTACTAAACCCCAACAATGTTCTACATGGGTGTAGGACTGTGACCAATTACTGACGGACGATTAACGAGTCACGTGAAATTGATAAGTAATATTTATTGTCTTTGATAAGTATCAGAATCAGCTTTATTTGCCAAGTGTGCTGGGGCACACAAGGAATTTGGTTCCGGCTGCTAGAGACTCCCTAGTACACAGACAATAAATGACACTATACAAGACTATACACTATAAAATTTGAAATATACATACGTGAGTAACACTGTACAAAGTATAAGGTGCGAGGTTGAATGCAAACAGAGTTTAAGGAGGGGAAATTTACAGGTGACACAGCTTAGTTGTTTATGAGGGTGATGGCCTGAGGGAAGAAGCTGTGAGTTGTTTAGCGCCTGCCAGAGGGGAGGAGCTGGAAAAGATTGTGTCCAGGGTGTGACGGATCTGCAATGATTTTATCTGCCCGTTTCCTAGTCCTGGATGGAGGGCAGGGGGACACCGATGATTTTTTCTGCTGCCCTCACTGTTCGCTGCAGTCTCCCTTGGTCCTGTTTAGTGGTTGCTCCAAACCACACTGTGATTGATAGTAGCAGCCCATTATCTGAAAGCTCCAGTCTTGGTTTTGCTTAACAGACACGCCCATATGCACCAGTAGGAGGGAGTGTTGATGCACACTGGCTATAAAATGCCTTCTGAAGTGTGACAGTATTTTGACAAGTTTGGGGACCAGAAAAAAAGCTACATGTGAACAGTTTCAGAAGAGTTTTCCCTTCTCAAGCAACACAGCAAACTTGATCATTTGAGAAGATGCACCTTTCGCACATGCAAAGCAGAACCTTCAGAATAACAACTGGAATTGTATTTTGGGAAATGTCAACCTAAAAAGTTACACAAAAATCCTAGCTTATGTGTGGTGAATTCAGAACTCAGTTTAAGTCCAGATGGACTTTTTACAATCCCTTTCCCTTGCACTTTAAAGTTTCCACGATTTTTAGAAAGAAAGGGATGACAGTAAGTGACCGGAAAAGAGAGGAAATCACCTTCAGAGAAAACAGATATTGCCATGAGACCTTGAGGCCAGACAGCAGCTTTGCTGTCACAGTGCTGATGGTAATAGATGATCTTAATAAACTTACGCATCTCTCCTGAGTCAGCCCTAGACAATCCCTCAACAGACTGAAGTTGTACCATTTGCTTACCCTTTTCCTCTAAGGTCTCTTCATTCTCCTCCTCTGCCTTGGATATGGCTCTTCAAATGAAACAAAACATCTGCTGGATGTCCCGTATGTAACAGAAAGTCAGTTTGGCATTTCAGTGTTGTATCGCAAAGTTACTCCTCAGTAAAAGGCAAGCGATTGCTCGCTCGAGTTTGGCAAAAAGTACTTTAAGGATTTTTTGGTTTAAGCAGCAAACATAACAGGCACTGCTCACTAACTGTCCAATACCAGCATACAGTGGTGACAAGGCAAAGCAGCACACAGCCAAGACAATGCAGTCCCAGCTACAGGTAAGTTCTTTCCATAAATGTTTGTACTTGTGATTCCTGCTGTCATACTTCCTTTTGTTCCATTACCAACTGTTCCATTTCTTGCATGCCCACTTCCTTTTCTTCCACTTCCTGCGTGTCCACGCCCCGCTGTTTCACTAAAAGCATGTTCACATCCTGCGTGTCCACATCCTGCAAGCCAGTTGCCTGCAGTTCCACCTCCTGAATGCCCAGTTCTTGCTCTTTCACATCCTGCATGCCCACTTCCTGCAGCTCCACATCCTGCATGCCCACTTCCTGCAGCTCCACATCCTGCATGCCCACTTCCTGCAGCTCCACATCCTGCATGCCCACTTCCTGCAGCTCCACATCCTGCATGCCCACTTCCTGCAGCTCCACATCCT